GCTGGTTAGTTTTTTGGTTGTTGGAGTTTTTGTTTCGCTGTTGTTTTGAAGTCCTGATTATTTTTCTCATTTTAAGAGGACAGGGGTGCGGGTTTGTTAGCAGCATGGGGATGGGGAGCACACAGCTCTGCCTTTCCCAAACAATATCCCCCATCCTCCTCCCTTACCCACAAGAGGTAAGGCCCTACTCTGCACCCCAAATTAGCATTCAGGGAAGATCAACACCCCCACCTCCTTTTAAAGGAAGGAAAGAGCCGTCTGACAAAGGATCTTCTGGGACAGAAAGAGAAAGTAATAACCCCCACCTGTACCGACCCTCTGCCCACCCCAGGGGGTGCGCAGGGTGGTGTGAGTTGTGTGTTGTGTGTGCCGTGCCCGTGATGTGACTGGGTGCAGATGGAATTGAGTGATGGCCTTTAAGTGTGTGAGGAGGTGTGAGGGAGCTCGAGCCCGAGTGTAAACCTCTGTGGCTGCTGGCTTCCTCTTTGCTGGGTTCAGGCATCTTCCAGCTTCAGCCCTGTCCCCTTCCAGCTTTCTCCCGCGGTTGGCGATGAAGAGGTGAGCAGAATTTTCTAGTTTCGAACCATGCGGGGGTCTGAGGACTGACGCAGATCCCAGCAAAATGCGTTTGATCCGAGGAGGACGAATTCGTTGCAGCAGGGTTGGCCTCGCAGCCTCCCGCTAGCGGTCCTCCCGGGTCTGTCCTCCATCCCTCCCGCTCCTCTTTTGATTCGATGGATGAGTGGCGATCCACTCCCGCGCCACCCGCCGGTCCGGTTCCTGTCCCCTCGCTCAGCAAAGCTCAGCGCCCCGTGGCTGTGGCTCTCGGGCCATGCACGGTGCCAGCAAAGCACCTCCCAACACTCCCTGATTTTGATTAACCGTTTTCTTTGGGGGAGGGTGCCCGGGTCAAAGAATTGTTCATATTTTGCTTTTAGCATTGGTGACTTTCTTACACTTGTGGAATTTAAAATGTCCGGGTCAGTCTCAAGCAGAACACTTCTGGATCGGAGGCTGACGTCTGGAAATGAAGCTAAGAAGACGGGGGAGCCGTTGTCTCTGAGAGTGTGGGGAAAAACTCTTGTGGGAGCCCCACACCATGCCATGTCAGGACCAGGCAGTGCTGACCCCAGGGCTTCCCCACCTCCTCCTCTCCCCAACTCCACTGTCAGCGACTTCAAGATTATTTAGAAAATAACACAGAGGAAAAAAAAAAAAAACTCTCTGGGGGAGCATGGAGATGAACGCAAAGGGAAGCGGGGCACCGGGATGGCCTGGCCGAGGGCTCCACCATCAACGGTTGCCCTCCTGGGCCTGAACTCATCACAAGTTCCAAGACAAAGAGGAAAACAGTGGTTCCGAACCCCAGGCAGAACAAAAATGGGACCAGAAGCACAGGCCTCTACAAGCAGCAGCTTCCCCCGGTCTTGGATCCAGGGTACTCTACCACAGAGCAGGCAGACTGCTGCAAGACAGAATCATTTAGTTTCATTCCCAAATTGGATTACAAAAAAAGTTCCCTCCAAATAGATTTTTAAAGCTTCCTGAGAACAGATAAAATAAAACTAAGATTTAGTTTAGGAGCAGTGACCCTGATGAAGGAGAAATGTTGCCTGTAAATCCCAAATGGCCACCAAGTATCCAGAGGTCTGGATGAATGAGAATCTATTTCCCTGAGTGGATCTGTGCAAGTACAGAATTGCTTGGAACTGTAGACCAGGACAGTAGACTCCAGGAGTCAAAAGCCGCCCTTAGCTCCGGGACTTGTGGGAGGCACAATCCTGAGCCCAGTGACTACTGCAGCAGGAAAGCTGTGTACATCCCCACAGTCTGAGACAAGCCTGAGGCCATGCACTGCCAGGAGGTCTGCTGTTTCAGATGGCGATTCTGGATCTGGACACAGTAACCTCCAGCAAGGAATATATCCTTCAGCTTCATGTTAATACAGCCCAAGATCCACTTGCCCATCAAAGATGGAAGAGTCTACACCATGCATGCATAGCTCTAGTCAGGTCAAAATGCTCTGTCTTTTCCAACTCTAGAGCCTCCCTGCTCCACTCCTCCCTTTTACTAACACACACACACACACACACACACACACACACACAACACACACACAGAGTTTGCTTGGTTTGGTGCTGGGTTGTTCAAGAAGGTTTATTTTGCCAAAGCAGATCTCCCTGGCAAAAAGTTTGGAGAGTCAGTTCCTAGTTTTGTGAGCCCTAGGAGCTATTTGTAGTGACAGAAGAGTTAATTTGTCCCTC